TCAAAATTTCCCAATCAAAGTGTCCCAAGGCAATAGAAAGTATTTTCCTGAAGTATGCATGAGGACTGAAAGCCGCGTTACAGAAAGTTGGGTCACTAAGGTGGATTCATTGAGCATTTCCTGCTACAGCCAGGATTCTTGAACATCACTGCTTCTTATGAGACTAAAGATCCTGACCTTCATTCCTGAAAGGTTGAAAAAGGAAACCATTTTATAGATGGTGCCAGGGAAACCATGAGTCACTGCTGAGGACTTGGAAGAAACACTGAGAGCACAGGGTCTCATCACAGATGTCCAAGCGCCCATTGGTTTTGTGACCTTTAAGGACCTTGATGACATTTGAGTCATGAGAACCAGACATTTTAGACCAGTGACCCAGAGATGGAGTTAAGTGTCCCGACTTTGTGTTCTTTTCTCCTGAGTCCAAATACCTGCAGGGTCTGGTAAGCAGCCAGTGCCAACTGGCATTGCCAAGACTTTCTTGGCAAAGTTTCGAGCCTTTCTGAGAACTGTTCTCCTTTGCTGTTTTGTTGTTGTTGTTCTGGGTTTTTTGTTGTTGTTGTTGGGTTTGTTTGTTTGCATTTTTGCTTGTTTGGATTTGATTTTTGTTTGTTTGGTTGTTGTTTGGTTGTTGTTTGGTTTTGGTTTTGGTTTTTTCCCCTAATGTCACTGAATATGTTCAAACCTCAAATATCTACAGAAAATTTAACTTTATCACCTCCTTACCTCGCCTCCAGATGCATTGCTCCTTCATTTCCCTTCAGAACAGAACAGGTCTCCCAGAGACATCAACCGAATACAGCATAACAAGATGCAATGAGACTAGGCACAAACCATCATGTCAGGGCTGGATGAGGCAAGCCAGTAGGAACAGGGCTCCAAGAACAGGCAAAAGAGTCAGAGACATCCCATTCCCATTGTTAGGAGTCCATCAAGAAGCCCAGGCTAGACGACCACAGTATGTATGTTGAGGGCCTATCACAGACCCATTCGGCTCCGTGGTTCCTACTTCAGTCTCTGTGAGCCTGGATAAGCGCTGCTTAGTTGATGCTGTGGGCTTTGTTTTCATGGTGTCTTCCACCCCTCTGGCTCCTACAGCCCTTCCTTCCCTTCTTTTTCGAGGTTCCCTAAGCTCTGCCTAATGTTTGGCTGTGGGTCTCTGTATCTGCTCCCATCCGTTGCTGGAAGAAGCCTCTCTGATTCATCATTGCTCTTTCTGTGTTTCCCTTTTCCAGAGACCTTTCACATAGCCCAGGCTGAAATCACCATCCCTCCATGTAGGCTGTCTGTATCTACGATGATAACTTTGAATCCCCATCCCCGCATCTTTACCTCCAAAGTGCTAGGATTACAGATGTGCAATGCCAACATCTAGAGATGCCTGTTCTCTTGTGTACTTCCCAGGTAGCGCTGTAAACTCCAGGCTTGTCTCTGATCTCTCCACTCTTCCATCTGGACTAAATACTTATTCTGAATTTACTGCCCTGTTCCTTCCCTGCTTGCCAGAGACCCTAACCAGACTTAATCTTAGTAATTAACTACATAATCCTCTTTCAGAGACAAAGTAGAAAGTCCTTGGAGATAGCGTGATATGCCCAAGGGCCACTGTTCCTGTGGATGGTGCTGCCTCCAGCAGGGATCTCTTAGCCCAGCTTGCAGAGATCCCTTCCTAATGTATCTCTAATGTAACATCTCTTTTCTAGCTAGCCTTTCAGATATAACACAAGCTTCCAATTCCATCCCTTGTATGTGATACTTTCTATTCAGTATGCTGCCCTCTACTGCAAGCATTTATACACCATGTTTAAGCCCTCCCCTCCTCTCCCTCCCTCCCCTTCTTTTTTTTTTTTCCTGCCTTTTTTTTTAGGCACCTCTTTTTCTTTCCTTTCCTGTGGATTTTAGAGACAGAGTTGGACTTCTAACCTTGGAGGGCTTGATTCTCATTATGTAGCTTGAGATTCTCAAACTCATGGCTATCCTTCAGTCTCAGCTTCCGAAGTACTGGGAATAAAGGCATGCATCACCATGCCCAGCTAGCCCTTAGTATGAGTTATTTAATCCTCTTAAAACCTTTAGCCACCCTGTGGTCTAATTTCCATTTCTGCATGTGGAAATGAAAGCTAAAGTAGTAGTAACTTCCCACACCTGAGTTAGCAGGTGGTGGGCCAGGATCCAGTGTAAACCGTCTGTCTTCGGAACCTGTGCTGTTGGCCCGGACTTCAAACTCCACATCTTTTAGCAACATCTGTCTTTCAGGTCCAAGGCTCTCTCTTCTCTATAAAACTTTGCCCAGTGATCAATAGACATCAGAGACTTGGAATTTATCGCAGGGTTATTTGTGCTTTCTCAGTCCTATCCAACACGCTGCAAACGCTGAGAAAGTAATACCATAATCTATGACCTGATCATAAATATCTGCAGCTCAGGTTTTCCAAATCCTCTTCAAACAGTAATTGGAAAGCAAACAGAGAAAGCCAAGTACTAGCAAGAGCCTGCACCGCGGCTTGGTGTGCAGACAGGAGCTCAGTGAGCCAGGGGTTCTCCCTTCTTCCAGGTACTCCTGGTTCCTCTGACTTTGGAGGTGCCATTTCACCTCCCATACCTCCCTCTATATGCCCTCCACCTCTGTTCTCATTTGTGAAATTGGCTTAATAAGGTATGTCTCATGAGATTCCAACAATGACTGTATGAAAACTTACTATAATTTGTAAACCCATATTCAAACACAGTCTTTTCTTTTAGTCCCACTGGAAGTTAAATATAGGTAAACTAGCTCTGTGTGGCGCTCCATCCTCTGACTGACACTGTGGAGATGTTCATGTCCTGGTCATAGAACTTTTCTGTGACCTTCTTTTGGCTTCTGTAAATAAATAAACTCTATACTGATTCTTCGTAAAAGTGAAGCTGGCCAGCATTTCCCTTATCCCTGTCCTTTTGATATTTCCTAATCCTGAGGTTTCAAAATGGTCAATCTAAACTTCCGTTATAAAATGTAATGTAAATTATGTCTTCAGGAACCTGTATTTAGAATACTCACCGATTCTTGGTGTATTTTCCTTATGGAATGACTTTAATCTCCATGGTGATTCCATCATGAACTATAATGTAACTGCTCAGTCTTGTGCCTGTTAAGGTTTACAGTGTGCCTTCGTTGGTGGGACTTGTGTAAAACGACTAGGTCATTTTACCTTTTGAACTTGGGCATGGAAATTTTGAAGGCAAAAGAAGTAATAAAAGCATGTCAGGAAATCTGGTTGAGAAAAAGAAAGTTAAAGTGTAGAGTTAGCTCCTAAGATAAATTAAAAAAAAAAAACATCACCTTCTTTAGGAGCCCAGGTGTATTTCCAGTAGACCCTGAGAATTCTACTCTGTTATTGGAAATAGCGTAAGATGGACAATGGTAGAGATTTCACAAGGAGAGTTTCAAGCACTGTCTGGCCACTAAGTGGATTACAGGTGTGTCACCATGCCAGGCTACTAGTAGGTAGCATTTTACACATAGACTATTGGGCAGTTTGTTGCAATGAGCGAGAGGCAAAAATAAATAAATAAATAAATAAACAAACATGTGTGGCTGACCCATGCCACAGTTCATCGGTGAACCTGTGTCCTAGTCCACAGGTAACGCCCAAGAGGCAAGTGTCTTCGGTCGAGTGATTTGATCTTTTTAAGTCTCAATTTCTTCCCTTATTAAACACAGATGCTGTGTTAGACAAATAGTAATGTCACTTGCCCCCTTAAGGGCAGAGTGCCTAGAACAAAGTAAATACTTGAAAACGACTAGACCTCTTTGTTATTAATCGTCGCAGGAGTTGCAGAAAGAGCAATTGGTAAATCAAGGCTGAAATGAACGAGAGGTGGAATAATATTACCATGGGACCAATAATTACCTTTGCTCTTCTCTGACCACTTCTGAGTTTGACTAGCATTTTCTCACCAAATTGATTTCAGACTGTATTGGCAAGAACAAGAAGCAACATATGTCTTATGTTATAGAAAGCATATCAGAGATAACCTACCCAGGTAAATATGCGTACGACCGCAGCTTTCTATAGGAACAACGAAGATATCAGACACAGGAGAAAGACAGTATATGCCATTGAAAACCATTTTCCTAGCCAGCTTTCAATAAAGAACTCTGGTTGCTAGTTTATAATGTGTTTGGCGCATTCCCTTAACCAGTGATAGGTAACTGGATCTTTGTTGTATGAAGGAAATCAGAGTGTGTAGCTTAATTCCAAATTCTGTAGTTTTCAGCCCATTGCTTATTCACTGACATCAGCACTATTGCTATAAATGTGTTAGGTGCTCTCAAAGCCTTTCGAAGCTAGCCAGATTGGTGAAGCATATCGTATCCAACCCAAGGTAAGTGAACCGAGACCTATCGCAAAACCCAATGTTCCTAAATTAAAAACTAAAGTGTTCATTTTTTTAAAAAAAAAAAAAGTAGACTAGTCCTTCTGAAGCTTTACTGACTTTACATAGGATCAACATAGAGAAGAAGCCCTACTGTTTGAGTGCCTTTAGCATCCCTGTGGGAATTGTCACGTAAAACGCAGTAGCGAACTGGTACTTCTAGAAGTTTCCTTCTTCAGGCTGACCTATCACAGCGAGAACCACTGATGAGAAGATCCTAACAACCTTATGCAGATACAAATTGGAAAAATGTCCCAAAGGAGAGTTCCAGTGCTATAGATGGAAATCAAGATTTATGAAGGTTTTTTTTCTTTATTTCAGAAACCTCAATAGAATTAATAAAGTGACAGTTGTAGGATATCCTCCAAGATCCATGACTTCACTAGCCCTGGGTGGTTGGCTAGGTCTCCAGTACTAGGTATGGTATATACTTAGCCACCCATGACTGGATTTACAACTCAAGTACTGTATAATAGACAACAAAGGGGCTTGAGCTATTAATGATATGACAGGTTGGATACATGAATTTTCTCAAGAAATTCTTTTGTATTTACTCACTTTTTTTCAATTCTTGGTCTCTGTAGGTGGCAAATCTTCCAAATGACTATATGATAACCCTCAACTATGTCGCCGGGATGGATGTTTTGGTATGTAGTTCACACATTTCTGACTTGCATTTTAGTAACTAGTGGGTGACCTGTGATCATCCACATTAAAGACATTCTCTGCTTGCTGTCTTGAAGATGATATCTTTGTAGATTTTGACCTATATTTTTTTCTTCTTAATTTTCCCCTCAAGCTGCTGCTAAGATTATCAGTGAGCATTTCAGCATGTGTTTTAGGCATGCGCACTAAACAGAAACTGCTCCTCTTGGTTAGACTTAGCAATGGATGTCTATTCCCCTCCCCCCCCCCAACCCGGGCACCTCTTAAAGGGACTTGAATATAAAATCGTGTTAAATTTTCTCCTTAACAACATCTCATGTATATATTACTCTTATTCCTATTTCCTTTAAGGGGATAGAATATTTTATTTTGTTTCAGAACTCATTAGCCCTGCAATGGGTCTTTGAATACAAGTATGGAGTTATAATTTTGTTTCGATGTAAATTTTGGGATGTTAGGCTGTGGACAAACTCCACTAGAGTTACGTAGACCAAAAAGATGCATAGTAACTCTGCAGACCTTTATAAACTCCTAAGACATCACGCTCTGCCATCCAGAAAGATGTGAGGTTAATGCTGTTTGATACTATGTGTCCCAACTTGCAAGGTAGTCACATATTTTCAACACATGCTATCCATACCGATTCCCAGTAGCTGTTGTAATCCTGGAGTAAACTGAAAGCTATCTGAGCTGCTCTCTTTTGCAACTCTAGTTCCCCCTCCCTTAAACCCAATAAATATTCATAGCATGTTGATTATGCGAGTGTTTTTTCTGGTTTTTGTGGATCAGCCAATCAAAAGTAAGTTACTTTGTTCTTCAAAATACCTTTCAAATACTACATAAGGTTTTCGTTTCAAGATACTGGCTGTGGCTATACTTCTTTTACTTGGTAAACATTTTCACCACGAACTGCCAAATGTTCTTTAGAACTCCCTTGAACATGTAGCTTCATGCTGGACCAGCTCCGCTCAAGCCTGGCCACTGTCTGTCAATTCTGGTAGTGGAGTTTTCTGCAAATAGAAATATCAAGACAAGGCAGCTTGAAAACTAGTCAATGCAGTCATTTGATGACTTAGTCAGCGAGAGTTTGGTGAAGAACCAATTTAAAATTCTGGCCTCAGTGGTTGAGTGCTTGCCTAGCCTATGGAAAGGTCCTGGATTCCATCCCAGCTCCACCAAAATAACAAACAGGCAAAGAAACTAACATCTTAACAAGAATCGTGAGGAAAGTACTTAGCCTTTATGTCACTTTTTTTGCAAAATGATAAACTTCCCCCACCTCCCACACACAACGGTGAGAAGAAATCTTATACATTAGGTACACTTGGTCATATTTTACAAAGGACTCAAGGAGGTTTACAACCCAGACTCATTTTGACCAGGGGTCTACCGCTTGTACACGACAGACCTAAAAAGAACATCCCTCCCTTTCCCATCCCACTCCACTTTGGGCATCCGACTCTTCACTCTGGGTTACTGAAAATAGGGCTGTGAAGAATAGTTACCGTGCTTAGCCAAGCGCTAGAAGGAAGCGTCTAGGTAATAAAGCCGTCCCACTCCAGAATGCAGCCCCCGTGAGCCTGGCGATCGCCAGAATTGCTCAAAAGCAGCCCTGCTACTCTTTGCAAAGCAAGTGTTAAACGGGAAATAACTAAACAGATGATTCCGTGCTGGTCTAGTCATAGACGGTGCTAAATCGTAAATTTTAGTATGGACTGGTGATAGCTGGAGTCAGGCTTGTAAAAATAAAGCCGACTTCTTGCCACATATTTTGTGCGTGTTGCTGCAATTGAGAGAAGCCTGCTATTATTTGGTCTTGGCATGCCATCGTGGAACTACTGAGAAACATTGTTCTTGGCCACCGCAGTTGGCAGGAAAAACCCGCTGCTTCGGAGGGCTTAGCACAGAAACTGGGGTCTTACCCTTTACCTTCATTTTAAAGGGTTCATTTCTGCCAAGACCAGAGGCGTTTCCCAGTTGAGTGGCCTGTGGAGATTTGTTGGTGGTCAGAGTCCCAGCTGCCTAATCTTTTGTCTTTAAACAATAAAGGGTGGGGTGGGACTTGTTGCCAGAAAGATCCCCTGGGGCCAAGGCAATAAAAGTCAGCCTCGGGCACTGGGCAAGATACAGTTTATTTTTCACTTTTATTGTAAAAAGCAGCTAAAGTCTGAAAAGGAAAGTCTACTTTCATCACAGGCCTTCTTAGAAAATAACCTAGCAGATTCTCTCTCAGAAATATAGCAGGTTGTGGTCATCCATCCGGTTAGTATTTGAATCCACTGATAATCACCAATTCCAAAGCCACACAACTATAATACTGTAATACAGCCAGATGGGTAGGATTTTCCCCTGAACTTCTTAAGCTTAGGTTCTGAATGAACACTCCTGGTTCTCTCATTCACCCAGCAGTTACTATAGAACGAATGGGCATGGAGTTGCGGAATGTTGCTACACAGCTGTGTTCGCTCTAATGTGTGCATCCGCTCTAAAACAAAAGATGCTGGAGTTAATTGCTCATCCTTTTTAATTAGAGTAAATTATATGTACACACAGTCACAGTTCTCTTAGATGTATTTTGGAAATTCCTTTAGTTGTACAGAATAATTCTAAAAATATCCAAAGAATACCACATGGTCTTCTCCAGGTTCAGCCTTTTTCTTCCCTAAATTTATTTGCTTTATCAAATTTTTTTCTACATGGATATTTTATTATATCATTTTTTTCCAAATAAATTGTGGCCATCATGGTCATTTGCTTCTAAATACTTTAGTATGTGTTTCTTAAGCATAGAATTATTATCTTACCTTTCAGCAACATATTTTCAACTCTAATAAAATTAGCAATAATATTTTAATGTCTTGGGTGTCTTCAACTTTATTTTTTTGTGTTTTTCCATTTCTATTCTTCTGGTAAAAGTCCATTCCATGATCGTGATTTACATTTTGAATTTTAAAGATTCTTTTTTATTATTTTAAATTGTGCATGCACACACGGTACAGGTGCTCCTAGAGGCTAGGGGTATTGCCAGACATGGGAGCTGAGAACTGAATTTGGGTCCTGGAAGAGAAATGCACCTCCTAACTGCTGAGCCATCTCTTCAGTACCATGATTTTAATATCATGAATACCGTTTCCCCGGCAACGTCTAGTCCAGTTAATTTATCTGGCTAAGAGGACTCGGAAGAAGTAATTCAGTTAAGATTTTTGAGATAAGATTATCCTGGATTATCAAGAAGTAATTCAGTTAAGCTTTTTGAGGTGGAGAAACTAGTTTGAATTGCCAAGTGGGCCCAATCGGTACACTTATCAAGGATTCAGATGTGTCTGAATTGAGAGGGAGATTTGCAAAGATTCCTCTGCTGAGTTTAGAGTTTGAAGCCAGAACAGCAAGAATACTGGCGAGTGGCCTGTTGGAGCTGGAAAAGGCACAGCAAAGGTCTCCCTCAGCCCCGATGAGTGCCTTGAGTTTAGTTTAAGTAAGATTTACTCCATACATCTGGCCTCAAGAACTGTAAAGTGACCTTGATCTTGATTACCAGTTCAGTGGTGATTATTTCTAGCTACGATAAGAAATCAACAGATCATATCTTCATGTCTCCTTCAAAAACCTCTCAGTCATTTCTTCGTCTTTGTGGCATTGAAACTTTAGAATGAGTCCCACCCTTCTCCTTGACCACGTGTCCCTTTTCAAACATGATTGATGGTTCGTACTGATTCTATGGGATTTATGCATTCTCCAGTGTCACCTGATGGCACTTGCTCAGATTGTCCCTCCCAGAGCATGCAGTGCATGTCATCCCCGCAAGACTACTTGATTTAATATGTCCAACTGATTTCTGTGCATTTACTCATTAACAGTCTTAGAGACACTAAAATCACATGAACGTCCTGGTCATTATCGACGGTTAGGAGCTACTGGTCTGTATTGCATGCACTAATCTTTAGGGTTACATTCTTTATAGTTTGTGTGTTTGTTTGGGGGCTTAGGATCAAACCTAGGATTGTGCTTCTGCCAGGCACTCTGAGCCATACTCCCAGTTCTGAAAGTATTTTTAAAAGGAACAGCTAAGACGGAAGTGTTTGATTGTGGACCCCTATTACTATGGCAACAGTAAGCCTAGCCTTCCTCAGCTCAGGCAGGCACAGCCTCACTCTGAGATTGTTCCCGCCTCTTTCACCTGGCTCTGTGTTCTTTTTTTCCTTCACCATCCCATGACTTATTACTGGATAGTTTGGTTCCTGGGTTGACAGAATGACTTAGAAATAATTATCCATTTGCGATCTATTCCTCCCTCATATATGCTGACTGACTTCTGGCTCATCTTCAGATAGAGGAAATGGTGTTATTGCAACTAGGGGACAGAAAGAATGCAGTTTCCTGATTGTTTATGGGGCTATTTGATTGATACTGTCCCCTAGCTTACAGACTTTACAAGACAGAATATATCTCTTTATCTTACCTATACCTCTCTCTCTCTCTCTCTCTCTCTCTCTCTCTCTCTCTCTCTCTCTCTGCTGTTCTATACCTTCAGTGCCTTCTGTGTGATGGGTACTTAATAAATATTTGACGGAAGGATGCAAAGAAAGGCAGTAGGACCTTTCTCTGGTGTGTAATCACTTGTCATTTCCTTGATGTCCAAGGTGCTGTGACAGCTGGGTGCCCGTAACTCACCACACACTATCTGAACCTCCACAGTGCTGCTCCCTCTTCCTTAGACTTCTGCACACGTCATGTCATCTTGCCTGGAAGAGTTTGTTATTTTATTGTCCATGTGAGCCTTCTATTTGCACTGAATCATTTCTACTCAAGAACCATCTCATTTTCCAGTTTGCTGGAGGCTGAGAGCCAGATCCCTAAGCCTAAGGTTCATTAGACTCTATAATCTTGCCTCATCCCAACCTTGTCACTGAATACCCATTTTCCCCCTACACCAACTCACCACCCTAGCCTGATGCATCACTGTCTCCTAAAGTCATGCTTG